ATCAATGTGCACAGGTCTGAATGTATTTCCAGAGAGACATTATATATGCACTGTATGACCAAAAGAATGTGGACATGCCTTTAATTTACTAAGTTTTGGTATTTCCAGTGTAGGGTACTGTTAATGTTACAGCACACAAAGACATTTTAGACAATTGTGTGCTTCCCCCCATGTGGAAACAGTTTAAGGAAAGGCCTTTTTTGTTCCAGCATAACTGTGCCCAAGTGGAAAAAGTCAGGTCCATAAAGATATGTTTTGACAAATTTGGTGTCCAGGAATCCAAGTTGCCTGCACAGAGGCCTGTGCTCACTGCTAATAAACACCCATTAGATACATTGGAATGCTGATGGCGAGTTTTACCTCTCAACTGTCCCACATTTGGAACCAAATCCCTCGGTCCATCTTTCTTCCCCATTTGTCCCACAATTTGGACTAATATACCAATATTTATGGAAAGGTATTATTTAACTATCAAAAGTATTGTCCCGCACGAAAACCTTTATCTTATCTCTTAATTATCTTGTTTGCTTTTCCAAAAAGCCAGTATAAAGGAAAAGTCATGGTGAAAAAATAAAAACAAATCTGGTTTTAAGCAGTCAGTTTTGGTACATAAAATTGCCTGCAAAACTGGTGGCATGGCAGGGGTTTGTCCATTGTGCTGGAAGGTTTGTCCTCACAAATGTACTTTTGACTGAATCGGAATTGATTTGAAATTTCACACTACAAAAACCTGTGGGAGGGGTTTTTTTTCAGAAGGGTGGGGGCAGTTATAACCAGAAAGGAGGTGGCAGAGGGAATCCATAAAAAAGCCCATGGTTTTGCAATTGAATATTCAACAAGCTCATATACTGTAGATGTAATGGCCAGGGCCTTTTTGGCCGTATAATGCATCTTAAAATATCTCTGAATGGTGAATGCACATACCTGTAAATGCCTATGGAGCACCAAGGATGCTTTGGACCCTGCATCTCAGACTAAAACGCATTGCGTTAAGGTAGTCAAATTACTGTATTTTACAATGCATGGCAGTGATGCATAGGTCTGAATGAGCTCTTAGGCCGGGTTCACACCTGGGCGTTTTACAGCGCTGATCGACGCGCTGTAAAATGCTCAAACAGGGCATCTTTCAATACTTACAAATCAAGCATTTTATACAAACCCTCCTGGATAAGTCAAACCCCCTTCCCTCCCTCACCCCATTTGAGGAGTACCTACTCGACGACACGAAAAGCGCAAGACACATTTCCACTTTATATGCTATGATACTTAACCACCTACAAACTTCTCTCCCCTCATACACCTCCAAATGGGAACGTGATCTGGGGTGCTCTATTCCTGCTGAAACATGGTCTCAAATTTGGATGACAACCACTCGGAGCTCGGCGAATGTCCAGGCGCTTGAAGCCAACTACAAGCTACTCCTTCGGTGGTATCTAGTACCCCTTAGGATCTCCAGAGCCATCCCGTCCTATTCACCGAACTGTTTCAGGGGTTGCCGGGTGGAGGGATCGGTCCATCACATTTGGTGGGCTTGCCCTAAAGTGAGGAGATTTTGGCATAGAGTATACCAACTTCTGTACACAGTCACAGGCAAAACATTTCGCAAGGACCCCTTGGAGGCCCTGCTACATAAGAAACCGTCGGTGTGCACGATTCGGCAACACCGTCTGGTCACGTTCATACTTACAGAAGCCAAGAGAGTAATTGCGAAAGCTTGGAAGTCCCCTAACATACCATTTGCGGAGGTCAAGCGTAGAGTATCGAGAGTGATGTTCTTTGAGAAACTTACAGCTCTCCAAAAGGATACTTTGGTGTCATTTCGGAAAGCTGTGGGAACCATGGATTGAGTCTTACCATCCTCCCTCCTTTGATATGGAATCCCTGACTCTCTGATGGCACAATAATGGAGGCTTTAAACATTTGATCCTTTCCTTTACCCCAACCTCTCCCCACATCCCCTCCATCCTCAACCGTCCCTTTTTTCCTTCTTGAAACCAGTTGCTCCATACTTAGCCTCTGAATCTTAATTTCAAAGTTTTTATTTTATTATTTTACTACAATGTTCGTTATACTTTCGATGTATATATGCAGTCCTCAAGGACTAAACTACTTGACTATACCACTGTACTGTAGAAACCTGAGTTTGTAAATTTTATTTGATTCTACATTGGATTTCACACTGAATGTGCAAGTGTGATCATTCTTACCTGCATTTAAAACAAATTAAAAAAACATTTTGAAAAAAAAAAAATGCTCAAACAGGGAAGTCCCATACTTCCCTATGGGGATGGTTCCCACCTGGGCGTATCTCAGCCCGTTGAAACGCGCAGGACTTACCTTGTCCGTGATCCCCACTGTGTCCTCCGGTGGCTGCCGACTTCCGGGCTCCATCCCTTGCGAGCGGCCGCGTCGCAAGGGGGCGGAGCCGGCGGTTAGTTTGAAAGTGAAAAAAAAATAGAGAAAATAAGGAGAGAAAAAATCATACCGCCAGTGAAACGCGCGTTTCACTGAACGCAAAAACGTGCTAAAAAACACGAAAAAAACGAGCTGAAAACGAGCAGAAAACATACACCCAGGTGTTAACCCAGCCTTAGTGTACAGGCTGCTTTGGCTCTTGGTTACCAAGAAATTCAATGTTGCTCTCACATATTTTATAAGCTGAGGATGTACTAGATCTGTTTCTAAGTAACAAAACATGATTATACAGTATACTTCAGACTTTATTCACAGGACTTCTTTAAGTGTATCTAAAGATAAAATGTAAAAAGGAATTCCAGGAAATCTTTTGTTTGTGATATGTAGTTGAGGTTATGTGGTTCATCCTCTATGGTTTCATCCAGTGTAATCTAGTATTTTGGTGCAATCAGAAAGGTACAATGATTCTCTGAGAATTATGCACCTGTGTACATCCCTCATGAAAAGGGTGCTGGGATGTGTTCAGGACCCCACCTGGGAGACGGGAGATTGCCACCTGGGAGTCAGGGTGGAGGCCAGTGCAGCAGGGAGCTGCAGGATAGCACAGTATTGAGGTTGTCTGGAGGAACCAGAGCATGGCCCAGCGGATTGAGGCCAGAGCAGCAGTGCTGCAATAGAAAACTATTGAAAAACTGGGACACCGTGAGTGTGTGAGACAACTTGGTGATTGGTGAGCCAATATATGTATATTCTGCGGAAGACAAACTTTCTTTATGTTGGGCTTCCTGATTACCTGCTGTTAAAAGAAAAATAAAGACTTTTTGTTGATGGATAAACGCTGTGCGAGTGCTCTGTGAGCTCCCCAACATCACAACATTATAAATGTAAGGATAGAGGATTGTATCTCATTGTCCTAAACACCATACAGTTTTATTCTGTCTTATGTAAAGGGTCAGGCCACACACAGCATTTGGTTGATGCTGGGAAGCTAAGCCACATGTTTTTTTTAGGGACTCTTTGCACACCTGTTGCAGTCATCTTAAGGGGGTCCTGATATTCGTGTTGGATATTTTATATATCTTAAATCATGGAGAATGCAACGGTAAATGCTATAAAATGAAAAGTTGAGCAGGAACACCCCAAACAACCAGATGGACAGAAATTATGGCAGGGAGATCTCGCTTTGGAGTATTCAAGACATAAAGAAACCAGGAGTTGACTTAGTCCTCCATGCTCCACATGTGGCTTTGGGATGGACTTCAAAATATAGGCTTATTTATTGAGAGTAGAAAGAACAGTGGTGCACAGTAATCTGTGGTAACCAATAAGAAATCACATTGTATTGTTTTACAAATTAAATGACTGTCCTGCTAAAGAAAACATTTTGGAGCTAGGGGGTGCTAACTGACATCTACATTATCCTTATTTTTTAACTAAGCTCCATGGTGCATATGACACAGAGACAGAAACATACGGGGAAAGGAGCCCAGTAAGGAAAGGTGCACTGCATCCTTTAATACTTAGAATGACCAATAATAAACTACAAATACTAGTTATAATGTGCATAATATTACATGATTTTGCAGATATTTAATTAGCATTTACAGATATAATGTGTTTCTAAATGCACAGAATATAACTGGATATTAATATATACATTGCACTGCAGATTGTTGATCCAGTAAAGATCTAATTGCCTTAAAAAACAGGAAGGATTTTTCCCCTGTTGAAGCAAATTTGACCATTCTTTATATTGACCCTCGGGCTTTTAATTGTATTTATTTATTTGGGTTTTTTTTGGTTTCACATGATGGACTTGTGTCTTTTTTCAACCTATATAACTATGCAATTTTAAAATTCACAGCAGCTTTCCTAGGCTGAAATATAGGCTCCACTCACCTACTCCACATATTGAAATACAATAAGAAATATTTAAATCTATGTCAGTATATGGAAATGTCTTAATTTAGGTTATTTATGTGATACAGCCTATAGTATTCTTTTGTTTGACGGTAAAGAGAACGTGACACATTTTTTTTTTCAACAACAATCTTCCCATAAGATTATATATGCATTAAATGTATGTTATGCATGTTATTTACCTGTAAAGGCTTCCCTTCTGTAGGACCCAAATGGCCTGAGACTGCTGATAGGATGTCAGCAGCCCCATCAGACTAAGAGGTGTCATTCAAGTGACACTCTATAGTATTCCCCTTTGTCTCTCCCCCAGCAGCTACATAAAACATTATGTAGGGAAGCAAGGGAAGAGAGGGAGGGGCCGGGCCAGCACAAACAGTAATAAGACACTCCCAGTAGATGAGAGGGCTATCACATGGTAAGTGGGAATGGGAACTGTCTCTTCCTGGAGTGATCAAATTCCCTAGCAAGTTTTTAAGCACATTGCAAACGAACAAAACTTGTTTATGCAAAGGAAAAATGCAGCAAGTAAGCATTTAAAATACTTAACTTTTTCTGTGTCTTTACCTGCAATGTTTAAATGGTGACAGGGTCTCTTTAAGTTGACCTAATATATACTTAGACAAAACATGAACAAAAGTAACGTTTTCTTATGTTTTAATTCATAGGCCAGTGGCTCATTTTACTATGCCACATTGGGTTCACAAGGGACAGGTCCATCACTAGTTGCGGTTCCAAGCAGTCATCATAATGTTTTGGCCAACATGTGAGTATATTTTCATTCTGTTTAACCCAGTGCTAAGGTAATATGAAATCCATATTAACAAGAATTGGGGGCAACCACTGAACATGATCAGCATGAAAATGCTTTTCTTTGTTTGTTAAAAAGTGTGTTCCATCTTCCTAAAGACACTGACAAGGAACACTAGTAATATTGACTGGTAAGAGGAATGTGAGCATGTGCTGATGACAAGCTGTATTCTGTCCTTCTATAAGGAATCTCGGTAGTGTCATAGGACACACTGACACACTTGTTACAAGTCTGATGAGGGTAATTTGATTATCTGCAGATAGGGGACTGAAAACAAAATGCAATTGTGTAGAGATGTCACCAGCACAACAAAAAATCCTTCTTCGGCTAAAAGAATTTTCATTTATTGAAGTTCCTTGTCATATGAACAAGCGCTTTCGGGCCCACACAGGGTCCCTTCATCAATGCTGAGCCTGATGAAGGGACCCTGTGTGGCCCCGAAAGCGGTTGTTTATATGACAAGGAACTTCAATAAATTAAAAATGTTTTATCTTAAGAATGATTTTGGTGTGCTGGTGACATCTCACCAATTGCTGATATTTGCAGTGCCTTCCGCAGTCACTGCAAGCACCCTCCAACTACAAGGGACTTTTCAGGGACAACTGGATCGTAAATTCTGGATCCTGATTGGTCCTACTCCACCCAATAGCGTCCTTCGTTGTCAGGAATCTGATTGGTTGTGGTTTAGTCATATTTGGCTAGCGTACTCTGTGCACTAGGTTCTGATGAAAAGGGCGTGTACCATGACGCGCGGCAACCTTTGCTTTCACAGATGATACCGGCATCTGTGTAACTCTGAATGAGCAGGGTGGCAATTTCTTTTGATTTAGTAATCAATCATTGTTTCATACCGGGAGTCAAATTGATGAGTGTTAAATACCGTTACATTTGTGAGTAGCCCCTTGTTTTTAAGCTATTAATAAATATTAATCAGTACTGCACAGAGTGGGCGCTCTGTTTGTTTGTGTTTTTTTGATTATAGTGGTTATTCAGGGAAGACCAGAAACAGATGACTAAAGATGTGCAGAAACACAGCACTAAAGTACAACTTTTTGTACACATAAACAACTACTAAAAAATACTTGTTCTTTGCAATCCTCAGATGGTAACCATTAGGGGCTGCTTCTCCCTGGGATCAGGGAATTCCTGTCACACATGCAAACAAAAATACAAACACTAGAGCGCCACCTCTAAGTGTAATACCATTTATTCAAATGTAAATAAAAAGTACTCAATGTACTTCAAAAGGTATGATGTACAGCGCTTTAAACAGTCCTCTATGACTCCACTGAAATCTGTCCTGAGGTCCTCACTTTCTGGTATAACCGCAACAGCAGACTCCGGACACTCCTGTCACAAAGCCAGCTGCTGTACACTCAGGCTGATTTGTTTCTGGGGCCACGCCCCCTACCTCAGAGCCACCATGCTGTTTGGCCACCTCAAGCATGGAGCCAGCTTCCCGGGCAATCATGAACCCAGGCAGCGGGTAATGACACAAATGTGATCTGACTTGAATGTGATCTATGCACCCAGGATTCAGTACTGCAGTACGCCATGTTGGTTGGGACAGGCAATACTGCAAACTAGGGGCGGTTTTTCGGTATCGAGTACGAGTACCAATATTTATCTTTCAGTACTCCCCGATACCGAGTACTGATACCAGTACTTCCGCTAGCATGGAGCCGGCTTCCCAGTCCAATCAGGAAGCTGGGCAGCATGTCATTAGCAGCCACTCGGTGTCTTGATTTCCCCGGGAAGCTGGCTCCATGCTGTTTGGCTGGCTCCATGCTAATTGGCTGTGAAGCCGGCTTCCCGGGTCAATCAGCATTGAGCCTGCCAAGCAGTTGAGACAACTTCCCGGTAAATCAAAAAGCTGGGCGGTGGGTAATGACACGCCACCCGGCTTCCCAATTGGCCGGAAAGCCAGCTCCATGCTAGTGGAAGTACCAGTATCTGTACTCAGTATTGGCAAGTACTGAAAGATAAATATTGGTACTCGTACTCAATACCAAAAAAAGGGTATCTGTGCATCCCTAGTTTGCAGTATTGCCTGTCCCAACCAACATGGTGTGCTGCAGTACTGAATCCTGGGTACATTGATCACATTCGAGTCCGTTCAAGTTGAATCTCTAAGCAGTACAACAGAAAGGGTCTAAAATGCATGCCAACTTGTGTGAACATGTGTTCTGATTTAAAAAGCTCAAAAACTTTCCATTATTTAAACACTGGTTTATTGCAACATTTCTATAATGTATGCTCTTAACAGGTGTATTGCTGTCCATCCATACACTGCTCATGGACCAGATGAAATAGATCTGCAAAAAGGAGAAGGTATTCGTGTTCTGGGAAAATTCCAAGAAGGCTGGCTCCGAGGAATCTCATTAGTCACAGGAAAAATTGGTATCTTCCCCAGCCATTGTGTTCATCCAGTATCAAGGTTAGTATTGTAATATATATAATGTCTCTACAATCAGACAACATACAGCAGCTAGCCCTTTAGTAAAGAAATGTTAGAAAGAAATGTTGATAGAAAAGAAGAAAAGGGAAAAAGTTGGGCTTACAGAAGGATACTGCAAAGAACAGCGCCATGTCATAACATGAGTGCAATTCTCTGCAGTATTTAGAGCAAGAGAACCCATGACGTCCTATGATGACTAAGTCATCAGGTAAAAAGGTAATTATAGGGAAAACTTTTTAGAAAATAATGCAGGGGGGAGGGTGCTTCCAACCTTCAAAATGGGCTTTCAAGCATGCAGAAATGTAGAATTACTTTCCTGTAAACACTACAATAAAAACTCAAAATACCTTTCCATTTCCCTTTAACGGGTCAGGTAATTTAGCTATTTCCACAGAATCCCAAATGAAAATATGACTGATTTTACATTAGGACTAATTGTATTATGTGTCATCGCATGTTCTGGCCAGGGTTCCACTTTAACATCTCTTGGGGAAAGGTTTGAAAACACCATACTATGGTATTTGTCGTTATACAAAATAAAATGGTGTTTTAGTTGGATTTGGACACATCTTTGCAGTGCAGCTTCCTACATTAAGCTGTTTGTTGTGTACAATTAAATGACATAAAACTAGATGTATGCATGTTTTTAAAATGAGCACAATACTAAAGCTTTTAAACATTCTGGGAATTGCTAGAAATGCTGCAAGTTTGACTAAAATGTCTTCATGTTACACTCTAAAATGTATAGAAATTACACACTACGATTCTGTAATTATACATTCGGCAGTCACGATGCATTCCATAGCCATCCTGTTTTCCTGCATATTGTTAGAAAGGTGTTATTGTGGGAAAAATGAGATATACTTTGAGAAAATGCTTATGGAAATGTGGGGGAAACATAAAATCAGTTAGAGGGAAAATGCATTAGTTCATTTTAAGTGGTTACATTAGTAGTTACAGTTCTGAATGGTCATAATGTATTGCATATAGCATATACCAAGGGAAGTAACCATAGATTGGCAGTGCTGAAACAGTAATGGAAGAAAATGCCTTGAAAGCATGAATGCCAAATTAAAGGGTGGCACCCTGGAATTCTGGAATTGCTGTGTGTTTTGTTACTAGGATCATTTGTCTTTTTTGTTTTTCGCTATATTTTTATTATATCCATTTTATACATTCATTGAACACTCATTGTTTGCCAGGTTCATTCATTTCATTTTTGCAGATAGAACACATTCCCGGGCATTCGTTAGTAAATTAGTGAAAATACAATTTAGCATTAATATTCTTTTTTTGTGTGTGATTATCTTACATAACACCTTTTCATTCATGAACCCTTTTAAAATAGGGTATATAACCGTTGTTTCCGTACATAGGCACATCCGATGCGTGTTTGTATTTGTATGTGCGTGTACAAGGGGCGAAGGACTTTAAAAAAAATGTTTTTGTGTATTTTAATTTTTGTCCTATGTGTCCTTAATTTTTTGGACTTTTTTTTCCACCTAACTTTATTGTTATCACTAACAAGTGATGAGTATGTGTAATACTTTCAGGTATTTATTACCTTTCACAAAGATCTCAGTACTTCTCAGTACTTCCCCTGGCAATGCATTCATCTCTCCAATTGAATGGTCACCATCCTTTGCTTAACTACATATAGAGCTCTGTGTATCTGTAAAGCGTTGAAAGGTTGCCTTTACATATATATATGACCAGCAGTTGCTTTCCCGTGGCTTCCAGTCCTGCAAGGATCTGTCCTGGTTAGCGATTAGTGCAAATGGTCCTGGAAGCATGGTTGTCAGCTTTGGCTTGAGTGTGCATTAGCATTGGAGTGAATGTCTGGAAGTTAGAGGCAATATTTTTGTGCTGGCTCATATGAAGATGGAGTGCCTTAAACCGTGTAGATAGAGCCATGTCAGTGAAATTATATTTAAACTGGTGTACCCTCACATCACATCTTACTAAGTTTTTAAAGGAAATACATTGATTTTGATCTGGATCTGAATTATAGGTGCCACACCCCTTAAGTTTATAGTAACAAGAAAAGAAAGTGGGGTTTTGTAAGCACCAAAAGACAATTCCACAAAGCAAGAATCCATATAAAAAGTTGATTTCAATTGTCATAATTTTTAAGAAACTGGATCCACGCCACCCACAACCAGCACCGCCGCCTACCGGCCGCAGAACATAGAGGCCCACCTGCTTGTCTCCAAAGATTTTTGATCCTCCAATTACCCCCACGCCACCCACAACCAGCACCGCCGCCTACCGGCCGCAGAACATAGAGGCCCACCTGCCCTTTCTTTTTCTTTTTTCGTATCTTTTTTCGCAGACTGCGGCCGGGAGGGGGCGGTGCTGGTTGTGGGTGGCGTGGGGGTAATTGGAGGATCAAAAATCTTTGGAGACAAGCAGGTGGGCATCTATGTTCGGTCCACTGCCCTTTCTTTTTCTTTTTTCGTATTGTACGGCCAGCAATCTGACTGATCGGATTACTCCTCTCATGCTTGTTATTATGTCTCCCACCTCCTACCCCTGACTCAGTATTGGGACTTGGCTCATCATTGTCTACCCCTACCACCCCTAGGGGGGACCGCGTGGGTGTGCGGCTCGGATAGACTCGCCCAGATACATATGTATCAGCATATGCAAATTGATATTCCCTGTTTCCTGAGGAAGCGCCTGTGCGCGCGAAACGTCGTATGAGCTCCTCCATCTCCAAACCTTTCAACTCAACTATATTACAACATTTAATGAATTGCTACTTTGATGTTTAATTCTTGATGTTCACAACAATATCATATCAACCACTACCTAATGTATATATTCTATTGCTTGTATGTTAAAATCATGTACTAAGAAAGGTTTATATGGAGTGAGCATACAGGGAGCTATCTACCTAGCTGATTTTTAATGGATCTTTGATCCAGTTTCTTAAAAATTATTACAATTAAAATCAACTTTTTATATGGATTCCTTCTTTGTGGAATTGTCTTTTGGTGCTTACAAAACCCCACTTTCTTTTCTTGTTACTAAGTTTTTAAAGGAACCATACATCTTAGTAATACAGAGCTTGTTCAGGTGGAATAATATTATCTGATGTTCAAGAAAGGACTGTCATGGCCAATAGAAAAAAAATTGTACTGTCCACTATGTGCTCAGGTTGGAACTATTCCAAGTTGTTGAAGTTTAGTAGGTAAAAATTTGCATTTACTTTGTCTTATTTATGGGTCAAGCAACACCAATGTATCACCTCAAGCTTGTGATAATTACATATCTGCGGATAGTGTTCTTTATTTATTCTGATAGTAAATTTGGTATGCATTCTACCTAATTGATTTCCTTTACCTCAGCAGAACACGTCTCTTTTCACATTCGTGCGTGATTCCTCATTGCCTAGTTCGCTTGAAATATTCAGGCAATGTAATGGAAATTGTGCTTGTTCTGCATCCTCTTTATTGTTCTTCCCCCTAAACCATAACAATAAAAACTAACTAAAACAAAAGGCATGAATAGGGCTATAATAAGCAGCACAATCTCGCCGCTGAGCAGGCAATTCTGCATCACAGAAGCCTATTTTATCCTCCCAGAAATGTCTGTACAAATTAAATGAATTGGTTTGTTGGCTGCTGTGCCAGGGAGTAGTCGTATTATTAAACGATAAATCAGGCAGCCACATACAGGATCAGCCAAGTTTGTGAAAATTGTACCGTATGGCATAGTTTAGGTTGAATTATAGAAATTTAGACTTTAACCGCATGCTTCAGTGAAAGGAGACACATTTGTGCATCCTTACCAGTAATGTATACAGATGCCTCTTTATTTAATTAAAACACATAAATATGCTGTAACTGAATGTAAAGGTTGCAGCGCTCAATGGCTTAAAGTGAACCTGACCGGACCTTAAAACATTTCTAAGGTAACAAGTGCTTAAGTGTGGTGTCTGTAAATACCTGTACTAGCATTAAAATCTGACCCTGTGAAGCCCCTTTGACTCCTAGGCCCAGGCTTTACATGGACCCTGAACTTGTGCCAAAGTTAAGGTAGAGCTCTCTCCCTCCTGTAATTCACTCTCTCCCTGCTGTAATTCATACCCCTGTTATTCATATGTCATATTCCAGCATGCCAGTTGGCTTCGTCTTAACTTAGGCAGAATTCAGAAAAGTGCCTGCACTTGAGACTTGCTGATATCTTTGGAATGTTTTTGGTCAGGTCATCAGTATAGGAAATTGTAGAAGATGGAAAGTAGTGCTCTGAAGTTGAAAATACTATAGCAGTTGAATGTCATTGTAGCTGGAATACTTTACTGGGACATGCAAGGACCGTGATATTTTTACTTTAACATAGTGGTCAATACCGACAACTTTCTTTCTTTGAAGGTCTCCTAACTGCACACAGTGTATTTCCAGTGTGCTGGGGCCAGTCCCTATTAGAGGGATGAAAAGTTAAACTACATGAAAAGACATATCAGTCTGTCTGGAAGACTGAGATCCAGAGAAAATGGCAGCAGGTTCCTTTGTTATAAAGAAGGGGCAGACTTTCTACCTGACTGTCATTGTGTGGGCAATGCCTGCTCACCTACTGGGTAGCCTAAACAGTTTTTTGTCACTGACAATAAGGGTAAAATTAGTTAGGACAAAGAAAGCATCAAATACAGTACTGAAGTTAATTTATGTAAAAACAACAAAACATAAATAAATATATTACCGGACTATAAAGTAAATGCTTTCATTAAATCTATATTATTGATGGAGCAATGTTTACATAATTTCCTGCTTACATTATTCACTGCTTCTATGAATTTCCTTCTTTCCAGTGAGAAAATCAATGTCTGTTACATTATGTAATAAAGTACATATATTTTTAAAATGATGCACATTAAGAATAAGAAGTAAATACTGTTCACAGCTGATGATAAATGGATGTATGCCTTGTGGCAGCAGTGTAGTTGGGTTTTACTGGAAGCATACAGCAAACAGTCAATGGGTCTCATTTATCCAAAGTGTCTGAAAGAAAAAGCGACATGTTCATATTACTCAAAGTTCAGCTGTCATTTTTCTAGTGCAAGTTAGAAAATGAAACAAAGAATGCAATTGCCATGGGCAACGGACATTTATTTGGGATCCATTTAATAAATGTTCTTCAGCTATGCAAAAGGTATATTTTAAAAAACGTTTAAAAATGATTGAAAGAAAAGAACGAGTGAACAACAGTTCATCCCTTTTTTTTTTAAACTCCCCTGGAAAAATGATAACCAACCGTACAGTAAAGTGAGGAGACACCCTTGCAGCAAACCAGTATAGTAGTCTCTTGTTAACCTGGCACCACTGAAGTACAATTGCTGGTTAAAATGGTTCTACTCTCAAATTTTAGTGTACTTATAACAGCCTCCACGTGTCTCCTCTCTTACCTTCCTTATCAGAAGTACACCATAGTGATGTGTACTTCCATCACTTTACACAGCTACAGTCTGCCCATGGTACAGCTGACTCTACAGACTCTTGGAAGCCATATAAATGAACAAGCAGGAAGGAGGATAGGCCAATCGTCATTATGGCTGGTGTCATTCTATTCATACCACTATGTGTTCTGTTCTTCAGTTTGCTTTTGCCGGAATGAATATATCAAGTAGGAAGGCTATAATTCTATCTTTTTTTCTGGAAAAAATACTTTGTTGCTATCTGGAGGAGGCTCTAGAGTTTATAAGGGTAGCATTTTCCCTTTAGACACTTTTGACAAATATGGCTCACCTGTTCTCTTCTAAATACCATCAAAAAGTATGCTTTGACAACATGCAAGGTGGGCATCTATATTAGTGTTTGTGTTGACCATTACAACCTATCAGATACCAGTGAGAGACTTGTGTGTGTGTGTGTTTGTGTCACGAATGTGCGGTTAGGGGAGGCAGGTGAGGCAAAGCCTCACCTAGTATTATGGAGGAAAAAGCTGTCAGCTGCAAGTCTAAAACTGACAGCTTTTTCTCCATTCAGACCGGCTTATAAAAGGTTACACAGCATGGAAAGCCTCCCCACTGTGTAACCTGTCATGGATTGGAGCGCTACCTGTTAATCCGGCTTTTGACAGCTAAGTTAGGTTACACAGCAGCGGGCTTCCCCTCTGCTAGTGTAACCTAACTTAGTTAGGGAAAAGCTGCAACAGCCTCTAATCTGTGTTAGAGGCTTGAGCTCTGTGGATAGTTTGGACCAATGGTAAAGCGCCATTGGTCCAAGCTGTCCAATCAAAAAAAGAAAAAAAAACACTGAGGACATTGATCTCGATGTCTCACCAGTGACAAGCTCCTCCCTGTCTCCTCCCTCCTCCATAGATAGCTTGGTAACCGGGTTGGGGTGCGGGGTGTCGGGGAGCAGGGCTGGGGCATGCCTCACCCAGCAAAAAGCTTATTACTGCAGGTTACGTGTGTGTGTGTGTGTGTGTGTGTGCGCGCGCGCGCACACGCGTGTATGTGTGTATATACACACACACACACACACACACACTGAGTGGCCAGATTATTATGACCACCCCATCAGTACTTCATTGGGCCACCTTTTGCCTTCAATACTGCGGTGATTCTTTTTGGCATTGACTCCACGAGATGTTGAAAGATGATGTGAGGAATCTGACACCATGCCTGATGAATAGCACTGCCCAGTTCTGTGAGATTTGATGGTTGTGGAACCAGCTGCCTGATGGCTCCTTCAACTTCGTCCCACAAATGCTCAATTGGATTGAGATCTGGTGATTGTGGGGGGCCACCCAAGCAAGGTAAAGTCTCCCTCATGTTCTTGAAACCACTCCTGCACAATACGAGCACCGTGGCATGGCGCATTGTCTTGTTGGAAGAAGTCATCACCATTGGGATAGGCCATCAACATGATAGGATTGACTTGATCAGCAACGATACTTTGGTATGTTGTGCTATTCAGACGTTGTTCCACACGAATTAAAGGGCCCAAACATGCCAGGAAAACATGCCCCAAACCATAACACTGCCCCCACCAGCTTGAAGGGTTATGCTCATGCATGTGGGGTGCATGCTTACATGGTGTTCCCGCCAAAGTCTCACTCTGCCACCTGCATGATGCAACTGGAAACGTGATTCATCGGACCACATTACTTTTTTCCAATGCTCGACTGTCCAATCCTTGTGTTCCTGTGCGAATTGGCGACGTTTTACCTTGTTAACTGCAGACAGCAAAGGTGTTCGAACAGGCCTTGGGCTTCCATATCCCATACGATGCAGTGTACGGCGAACAGTGCGTTCAGAGATCATTTGAGAGGATCCCTGATTAAGATCTGCAGTAATTTGATGCACTGTTGCCCTTCTGTTGTCTTGTACCAGTCTTGCCACTCTCCGTTCTGCCCTAACATTGACTAGTTGCTGACGGCCACAATTCGCACGTTCAGACCCAGATTTTCGGCTGACAGTCCAGTCTTTAAACACTTTAACAACAGCTGCTCTTGAACATTTAACGAATTCTGCTGTTTTGCTGATACTCGCTTCATGGCTCCGTGCGCCAACAATCATCCCACGTTCAAAGGCTTTTAAATCGCGTTGTTTACCCATATCTTCAGGAAAGAAAATCACTTCTACTGTCGCGGTAAACAACCTGCTTCCCTATTTATAATGGTCTGGCCCTCTAGCAAATTCAGCGCAAAATTATAGCTAATTTGCCTACAAACGTCAGGTGGTCATAATAATCTGGCCACTCAGTGTATGTATACACAGTACATTCTCTGATCAGAAAAAAAATATTTTGCAGAGAACCCTAGATAATGGATCCCAGTCACTGTTAGTAAGCTTCAGGTGTGTCAAGATACAGTTTATGGGCCGTCATAAACAATCATAAACCACACTTATTACTAATGGCAGTGGTGCCTGAACACCACACTGCTTAAGGTACAAACAAGCTATTGCTAATAGAACTCTTCACACATATACATCTGTAAATATGCAATAAAAAATGTTTTAAGAAGCTCAAAAACAAGCAAGGTGTTTTTAAAACACTTTATAAGTATTTAGCGGTGTCCTGCATTAAGCACATAAATGTCCTACATATTTACTGCAGAATATTGACCTTAAAGTACTTAGCTGTGCTCAGTCCCAGTGGTTTATTTGTCTGCTATACACAAACTCTTCTCCTGGTAACATGGATAGGGGTCACTGTCCTCACTCCACAACAAGCACACGACCCATGATAGACATAGAGACATCCAAAAATTCTATCCACTCATCTGCAGTTTTTGCAAAGCTTAGGACTGACTTTTGAGGTATATAATTTAAGATCTTGACAAACATGCTTTTGATCAAAGTATATGTTAAATATAAATGTGTGCATTTTCTGTTTCACAGCAAGAAACCTTCAAACTATCCTGATGCAAGGCTTCCTTCTCAGCAGACTAAATGGATTTCCAGCAATGCCTCTGTGTCTTCACAAAGCAGCGTGTCAGAAACTGGAATCAGTAGACCTGTCAGGTCTTTTCATGTGCCAACTGCTGTGGTGGAGCCGGTGAAAAACACAACACCCTCCTCCTCTCTGGTACCCATGATGCTTCTACGGAGGAACAGCAGCTTGAAGAAAAGTTAGTTATAAAACGATGATGTGTATTTTTCCAAAATACACAGGTTATATTGGCTTTTTGTAAAACTGAAACACAAAACCACAAAACAAATGGTCAAAAAAGTCAGTTTGGGGAACTTTAAATATCTGTTTCATCTATGGCAGTTGCCCTAATCTAATGATGTGATCCAGTCCTCCAGATTCTCATCTATTCTAATAGCTAAACTGATATATATATATGTATATATATGTATATATATATATATATATATATATATATATATTCATACA